TGACGCTTGTGATACATTCATTGACAGGATAACGCATGATCAAGGGCACTGTCTGCGCCAAGATATCGCAAAAGCCCTGTCAATTCCCCGGACACGCTCCAAATATCAAGTGCTTCCTGCGCGGACTTCCACATATCGAAACAGTTTAATTCCTTACCTAGGTCGTTTACTAGTAAATCGTCAGCATATCCTTACCCACCTCTGGGGAAAACTGTTGCCCTAATTTTTTTCTCTTATTTGTGCAGAATTTTTACAATTATCTTACCTATCCACTTTAAAACTCGTAAACTTCTGAAAATTCACCTTTTGGGNTAAAGCTTTTCTCGACTTGACTTGACTTGAAATAGGGTGTCAAATCAGTGTGCGAAAACTACAGCCTACTTGACGTGGCGGCCAAGGTTTTTGCACAACTTTTGCTGAACCGCTTTGCTTCAGCAAGGCACGCACGCACTCGTCCTAACCAGAAGGGAATCCGCCCCAGTGTGGGTTGCTTCGATCAAATATTCACTCTACGTCGACTCTTGGAACATCGCCACAAGTTTCAACAACCTACAACAGTCTGCTTCATTGATTTTCGTGCGGTTTTCGACTCTGTAGATCGCGAATCCCTCTGGAACATTGTTCTGGCCGATGGCGTCTCAGTCATACTTGTCAACCTAATGAGATCCTACTATTCTAACACTAATGCCCGAATCATCAATGCAGTCACTTCTCTGAAGAACAGGAAGGCCCCTGGAGAAGATGGGATACCACCAGAGTTATTCAAAGCTTGCTTACCAACTCTGATCGATCTGCTGCTTTCTCTTTCCCATACCATTCGGGAAAGGGAAGTTTTTCCAAAAGAGCGGACGGCTTCAGTTTTAGTCCCGGTTTCAAGAAAGGGTGACAGATCTAGATGTGAAAATTACAGGGGTATTAGCCTGATTGATATCGCAGCCAAATTGTTTGCAGTGATACTGCTTAATCGCTTCGCAGTCGTCAGGGATACCCACACTCGCCCGAACCAAGAGGGTTTTCGCCGCGGAAGAGACTGTGTTGAACAAATCACTCTCCGTAGAATTCTGGAACACCGCTACAAGTTCCAACAACCTACCTCGGCATATTTCATTGACTTCCGCTCTGCGTTTGACTCTGTCGATAGAGAGTCCTTGTGGTGCATATTGCGGTCCGACGGGATGTCTGAGAAGTTCATCAGACTTTTAAAGTCATACTACTCAGGAACCCGGACACGCGTCCGTACTTATGGAGAAGAATCGGCTGAGTTCACCCTAAGCTCTGGAGTTAGGCAAGGTTGTCCCCTATCACCGGTTTTATTTAACTACACCGTAGATTGGATAATGCGACAAGCACTCATCGACTACCCCGGAGTGCAGCTTGGTACATGGATGAATGACCTCGAGTTTACGGATGATGTTGTATTTGGAGATACCATGGACAACCTCCAGCCTATTGCCAGTCGTATAAATCAGTAATGCTATGCCATTTGGTTAGAGATCAACACATTTCGACCGAAACTTCTACTATGAAACAAACCCTCTCGATTAACGGTAAGCTTTTCGAATCAACCGAAGTTTTCAAGTATCTTGGATCTACGATAAGACCAAACGGCCAGGCTGAAGACGAAATCTAACTCCTTGTAGATGGAGCTAGAAGAGCCTTCTTGCATCTCCTCAAACCGTTGTGGAATCCGTGCGAAATAAGCTCACACACTAAGCTTCGGGTTTATCGGCATTCCATTCACCCCATCCTCACTTATGGTTGTGAAACTTGGCCGCTAACAGTACAAGATACAAAGAAGCTCGAAGTCTTTGATCATTGATGCTTACGCCGCATCTTGAAAGTAAATTGGAGAGATCGGATTTCCAATGATGAGGTTCGACGGCGCTGCTCGAATATCGGGAAGCTTTCGAAAATGCTACAACACCGGTGCCTTCGGTGGTTTGACCATGAGCACTGAAAGCCCGACACTGAACTCTCGTTTTATGAATGGCATTGTCCACTCGGTGGTCAACTGAAGACCTGGAGCAGTACGATCAAGGCGGATTTGGAATTACTGGGTCTTCAATCCGTATACGGAATTCGCAACCGGAACCAGAACTGGGTTTCTCACTGCACCAACATTGCTACCGATCGTCAGGCATAGGCCGCCACCGCTAGAGACATCCAAGAAGCCGACTTATGCTCCCTAAGGAGTTAGTCGATCAAAAGTAATTCGGTATATACATATGAAAATACTCTGCAAGAAACAAAGAATTGCCACAACTGACCCGAAAGATAACTCTGAAGACTTTTGAGAAGTCAACGTCAAACATTAACTATCGGTCCTATTCTGTGTTCCATGTTAGGCGCGCCATAAAACCGTTGGAATAAACCGCCAACCGCATGCTTTTGCGTACTCCTCACAACGATGAGGACTACCCTTCAGAACACGAAGTTCTACTGACTATAAACTAAAATTTACGGGGCTTCAGGCCATTTTGCCCGCAATAGTACTCAATTTTTTTCAATGATTTGTGACACCATGATATCGTTAATCTACTTGATCAAAAATGCACGAGGATGCGACGGATAGGGTCAGTGCNTTTCAATTTAGAATATCAGCCAGGTTCATGAGTAACGTAGATGATAAAGCATTCCCCGGTTCATCCTTGTTACTGCATAAACCCATTTGTTTTCAAATCATGTGCCCCATACTAATCGATAGAATAAGAGTTGTCACATTTGGGGTTCAGGAGAGGTTGATCCCGCTGATGAATTTTAAAGAATAACGAGGATCTGTCTACGACATTCATGCACCTCTAACAGATAAAAGATGAACCGTTAGAAAATAAGATTTATTTGTAAGACATCAGCGTAATGTACGAAATGGGAGAAAATGCAATGATATGCGTTTCCCGCTTTCCGTTCGAATTAAGCTTCGCGCAGTCGTCAGAGAAGTGAATGCAAACGTTTGAGGGATTCAGCCACACACGAATCGAATGGAGCGAACATGCTCAATCGATCGTTTGCGGTCAGTGTGAGACGACAAAGCAGTTGAGCCAAATTAGGAATAGTTGGTCGAGAGGCACTGATTCGACGAATCGATTCCATGTAGCGTTCGCACGTAAATTGTTGATNCAGGTCAATCGCGTGTAAACCGACCGCGAACTGCGGTCCGGCGCACCAACGCATTTGCCATTCGAAATAGTCAAGTCCGGCAGCGATCATCAGGCGATTGAACCGAGCCAGTGAAAATTTCTCCGAATCGGAGCCGGCTAGCATGGTCCAAACAGCCTCGGAATTCTCCACGCGCAGTGCGAAACTGGCCAATCGAGCGATTCGCGCGAGCAGAACATTGTCAGCAGAACGCCCAAACAGTAGATAGTAGGCCGACAGCGGAGGGAGGCCGTCACCGGTTGGTGTAGATTGCTCAGGCAAAAAGGGCTTTGCCTTTCCTGGGCTTTTCAATCCTCGCAAAAGACAGTACAATCGGAGTGCATCAGCCGCTGTGGAAGACAAAGAAAGAAGAGCGCGAGAGATTAGTTGGAAGGAAGCATCGATTGGGTAGCGTCGGTATTCCAACATTTTTATATTCTCACAAGGCTTACGTTTGAATTATGGTTCTTCTACTACACGTAAAATCAGTGGAAAAAGTTACAGACCATCACGGTAGACAGTTAGGCACCTTGCACACACACTGATCCCTTTGCGGCCGAGAAGTGAAAACAAAACAGTCCATTCCGTAGTCAGGTGTTGTAATACCACGCCTAACCTATCGGGGCCTTATGTGGTTCCGAATGTCAAAGGCAAAATAAACAACGGAAGGCGGGGCCTTAGAATTTCCACCGTGTCACATTTTGTGCTCCAGTAGATAATTTGTCAACTTTTACGTCTCACACCGGATTTAATCGTTTGAGTCAAGTTGTCTTTCATCGTTTTCATGATTACGTACGCCCCAGAATCCTTAAACAATTTGTCGTATTGTGTTATCACGTAAGAGTGGTACTCTCCATCAGTTCAGTCGTCAAGTTAAAAATAGATACAAAACATGCAGACCGTCTAGATCAGGTTTCCTCAGAAAACACCGAGCAGTCTGGCAAGTGGTTTTACGCAACACAATACCTCAGAAAATGTCTCCGCCCCGCGGTTTGGTCATCAAACGTACGATCACTATTTGGAAAGATGAGCGACTTCACAAGACTGATAAGGACGAAAAAGTGCCATGCATTGGGGATAATTATGGTGCAATAAACGTGACTGCATCCTGACATCAACGGCTCTGATGGAGCTGGATTTCTTTGATATGCGTCGGTTGGATAGAGATTGTTTACTACGAAATCGAGGTGGTGGTCTAATAACCTACACCAAATCGTCTTGGTGCAAGTCTACAAAGATTGTCTTCTCCTACAACGTAGAATATATCTTATGTCTTTCGGCTGAATGTAAACCCCGTTTCTTTAGTAAGTATCGTTCCATCGTGGCATCAAACATTTACATAGCATCTTCTAGTGGAACTTCTAATGAACAGACGTTTGCTGATGTATTTATATCCGAACTTTCTAACTACACGGAACGCTCTCTTTTTATTGTTAGTGGTGATTTTACCCATGCAGATATTCATTTCTTGACCTGTCTCTCTCTACAATCTCGTAAATTTCTCTACAAGAGGAAACGCGCTGCTTCGAGGAACCAAAAGTTGTCGACTACCGGAGACCTGTGCGCATCACACCAGTCCCCCAAGAGAAGCTGGGAAACTACGACCAATCGCCTGTACTTCCATTTTACTAAAAATTTCGAAAAGTTTATGCTTAGTGACATTATTCCCGATACTGAGCAGTTAGATGACAACCAATTCGCTTATCGCAAACAACGTGCTACCTTTTGTGCATTTGGTAAATTCAGTTTTGCGATCCCTAGGTCTGCACGGCAGGGCATTTGGCGTTTCCTCGACAATAGTAACGCTTTTAACTGTGTTGATGGGAGCAAACTTTTGTCTCTACTCCAAGGTTGTTTTGCTGGTAGAACACAATTCCCGAAGTTTCTTGGAAAAACCTCTGACCAGTCAACTCAGGGGTGCGCCAGGGAGCAAATCTGTTCCCCTTTCTTTTCTCTTTCTATACTTGTGACCTTCCCACTAACCCAGGTGATCTTCTTATCAAGTATGCTGATGATGTCAAAATAGGTTCCAAATTCCAAGGTGATATCCGCTTCTCACATCTTCAAACCAGTTTATCTACCTTTATTTTATGGTCCTCGTCTTCCAAGTTATCTCTCAATGTATCTAAATGTAGCGATGTCACCTTTTCACTCGCCAAAGGAGAACGGCTACATTCTTTTGAAAGTAATTGTTCTGCATTTTATGGTGACAACCAGTCTATTCCCCCAGTAAATTCTCTGCAATACCTCGGTGTCACTATCTGCCAACATCTCACCTGGACCCCACATTTAAATTCTACTTTTGTAAAGATTCGAAGGTTGTTTCTTCATTTTCCGCTTACATTCTTTGAAAGTTCCACCATATTTACTCACTCTGGGGTGGTCATTATGACCAAAGACAACTATAAGGATAAAATGAACGAAATATTGTCGGATGAAAGAAAATTCAAAGTGGACAACACGCCTGATAACAACAGTCTCACAGAGAAAATGATTACCCGAAAGCTTCAGATTCTG